GCTTCAACAAACACATTTTGCGTTCGTTCAGAAGCGAATTATCGACTCGAGAATCGTTCAAATCCTCTCCGTCATAATACGCAGATCAGCGATAAGCTCTTGACTGCAATTCAACGCAATATGGTTCTTAAATTGAAACTGTATACTGATTTTATCGATTAGATGAGCAAATGGGAAAGATAAGGCAATTAAGATGTGATCTGGCAAAGTCACCCGAAGGAAATTTCGGTGTATTCACTGATGATTCTTGAACAAAGCTTTGGTGTGGATTTCACACACAGGAAGTCTTCCCACTATGAGCCAAAGTAGAGGTTACGTTAAGTAATCGTGCTTCTATTCTTCAAACAAAAACATTAAGCCTTGCACGCGAAGGGTCATGTAAACAAAACCGCGCAGTCCCACCTGAATACAGAAAACAGCAAACATCGTAAATGCATTTCTATGTTTTGACATGTTATGAAATAAGAGGTCAGGAGTTTAGTCATTTATCCCCGACCACAAATGAAAATTGATCATCGAGGAGCAGAGCGACAGGCGTAGAGAGATCGTGTAGAGACAGGGTTTAACTGAGGTTTTACTGGAAAAAGGGGATCAACCAGCATGAGAAGATAAAAATTGATTTTCGTTTTCCTTTTCTCTTAGTTGTTGTGTAAATCACATCGACGTAAATTTTGTAACAAAATAGATGGCTTACATTTTCATAATCCCACCAAACGACGGAAGTTGAGGATGAAAAAAGTTCACTTTCTTTTCAATGTCTACATTGGGTGCCATATTTGCTGAAACCGAAAGTAATTTCTGTTATGTAACATTAGACATTCCTATCAGGCCTACTGAGAGGTATGTCATTTCGGAATATGAAATAAACTTTACGTGAGGTGAGCTAGTGCAGTCACGGACAACTTCACGCACGTTGGTCGTGCGTGTTGGCAATAAATTTGGAATCATAGAAATTGGATTTCCTTCCATGAGTTTGTTTTAATCAGTCACAAGTGGTAGGAGTGA